TTGGGAGCCTGAGCATTTCTGGTCAACAGTGTGATTTATAAAGCCATCATGTGCATGTATCCTCATGTAAGCCATCATGTTCAACACTAAACAAGGCTTTCATAAATTCCTGTTGAAGCACAATCAGCGTCAGTCGTGAAAAATGCCAGGCGTGGTCTTTCAACAGCAGCAGGACGTTAAACACAGCAAACTCTTTCTGCTCAACGACTGACTCACAATCTCCATTAAAGAGCAAGTTAAACATCAGAAACTAGGGGTGGAATGGTATGGTTTCAGTACAGCAGGAGGAAAAAAACTAAACATATACTGTGTATTTCTCAAAATGCTCTTCTCTAGACTCTAGAGCTTTTAAACCAGACTTTCTCTAGCAAAAACGAGCTGGAGACACTGATGACTTGCCTGAGGTGAATGAAATGCTATGTGACATTTTGTTTACAAGCTGTTTTAATGACGTCTTTCCGCGGCTGAAACACTGATTGAGCAATTACATGAGATGTTCATTCATGTTTATTTCACTTTAAAACTAGTAATAAAGATCAGTTAGAACTGAGGCTTCTATTAAGCGATCTGTCGCGCCACATCAAAGAGCAGCAAAACGGCATTTATTCAGGGGTGTAAATTGCGCGGGGGGGTTGTCCCCCCTAAAAATATAATTACAAACCACTCTGTGTATTGCAAATAATATATTGAAAATTTTCTGTACAAATACGTGTACCGTGACACCCCTATCAGAAACTGAGAGAGACCTCCACTCACGTCATGGCCTGGTAGATGGACTCCACACCGAAACGCATGGCAAACTCATCCACGATCTCCTGCGACACGTCGTCGAAGTAAACCTTCCAGGCATCGTCACCTTTGACCTCGGGGATCTTCACGACTCCGCTGTTCTTCACCTCCGTCAGGTAGTGGAAGAGATTCTGCGCAGAAACAGGGGGCCGTTTAGGGGCCAGGAAGCGTTTCGAGAGCATGAACTGCTGCAGCATTGATATGGAATGAATGTCGGGGAACATCAACAGCACAGTCAGCTTGGAAAGGTCAACATTTCGGGGCGCCAACCTACTGTCATCACACCAGCAAAAATGCCACAACACCGCGGTACAGAACCAGCGAGACGTGAGCCAGACTAACACAAACACATCAGCGCAAACCCTTCCAGCTACACATCGCTGGATTCTGAAGCGCTATTCATAATGCAACACGAATATGTGTTGATTTCTCCGTTTTGGCAGATCTTTAACTTTTCAATATGCTGGACATACTGACGTTTCACATAAATTAGCTATTAAATATAATATAATATAATGTAATGTAATATACAATATAATATAATATAATATAATATAATATAATATAAAATAATATAATATAATATAGGAAGTAACTTGCAGTAATGTAGTAATATATATGTGATGACATGACTAAATTTAAATATCACTTTTATTAAATATAATATAATATAATATAGGAAGTAACTTGCAGTAATGTAGTAATATATATGTGATGACATGACTAAATTTAAATATCACTTTTATTAAATATAATATAATATAATATAGGAAGTAACTTGCAGTAATGTAGTAATATATATGTGATGACATGACTAAATTTAAATATCACTTTTATTAAATATAATATAATATAATAGCAATAAATAACAGTTAATGCAGTAAGATGATATATGGCATGACTAAATCTAAATATCACTTTTATTAAATATAAAAGTGAGGTATTTATCAAATTTCTTACATGTATTTGAATTGCAAAATATCACAACACAGAGCCAAATTGTTTTAGTTTTTTTATATTTCATTTTTTAAATTGTATTAATTTTTGTCCTGTTTTACAGTAAAAACAAAAGGAAGTAACTTGCAGTAATGTAGTAATATATATGTGATGACATGACTAAATTTAAATATCACTTTTATTAAATATAATATAATATAATATAGGAAGTAACTTGCAGTAATGTAGTAATATATATGTGATGACATGACTAAATTTAAATATCACTTTTATTAAATATAATATAATATAATATAGGAAGTAACTTGCAGTAATGTAGTAATATATATGTGATGACATGACTAAATTTAAATATCACTTTTATTAAATATAATATAATATAATATAGGAAGTAACTTGCAGTAATGTAGTAATATATATGTGATGACATGACTAAATTTAAATATCACTTTTATTAAATATAATATAATATAATATAGGAAGTAACTTGCAGTAATGTAGTAATATATATGTGATGACATGACTAAATTTAAATATCACTTTTATTAAATATAATATAATATAATATAGGAAGTAACTTGCAGTAATGTAGTAATATATATGTGATGACATGACTAAATTTAAATATCACTTTTATTAAATATAATATAATATAATATAGGAAGTAACTTGCAGTAATGTAGTAATATATATGTGATGACATGACTAAATTTAAATATCACTTTTATTAAATATAATATAATATAATATAGGAAGTAACTTGCAGTAATGTAGTAATATATATGTGATGACATGACTAAATTTAAATATCACTTTTATTAAATATAATATAATATAATAGCAATAAATAACAGTTAATGCAGTAAGATGATATATGGCATGACTAAATCTAAATATCACTTTTATTAAATATAAAAGTGAGGTATTTATCAAATTTCTTACATGTATTTGAATTGCAAAATATCACAACACAGAGCCAAATTGTTTTAGTTTTTTTATATTTCATTTTTTAAATTGTATTAATTTTTGTCCTGTTTTACAGTAAAAACAAAAAAAATCGAAACATTCTTAAAACAAAGTAAATTTACATATTATGCAAATACACTTGTTTTACGTTTTTAAGTATATTTGATGCTTTTCTGACCCAATGGTGGTTTTGTTGTTGCAAGCAAAAATCTAACAATATTTAGTGAGGCTTTATATACATATACAGTATATATTTATAATATAATTTAATATTTAGTTTAATATTTTTTCATATAATATAATATTTATATGTTATATAATATAATATGAATATTTTATATTTAAAACAAGACAAAGTTCTGATTAAGAACGTGATATCTGCAGTGTATTTCAGTGATACTGATGTCAGACGTACCTCGTGTAAACATGTGTACTGTCCGTGAGGAGGAGCCACCTTCTCTTCTCCCTTCATCTCCACGCTGATCTTCAGCCTGATGGCCCCCGACACCATCGACTTATCCGTCCGCTTCTCTGCACAGAGAATGAGCATGTGAACAGAAGACAGAAAAGACAAGAAGAAACAGAAATAAAACGAGTGAAATCATTGAGGCTGAGCCTGTCAATAACACACATAATGCAGCTGATCTCAGAACAGTGACCTGCGGCCAATCTCATCACCATGTTCCATTACAAATCTGACCAGCAAATTTAAACCAGACAATGTCAATATGTGTCCCTGGAGCACAAAAGCAGTGTTAAGTCGCTGGGGTATATTTGTAGCAATAGCCAACAATACATTGTATGTGTCAAAATTATTGACTTTTCTTTTATGCCAAAAATCATTAGGATATTAAGTAAAGATCATGTTCCATAAAGATATTTTGTAAATTTCCTACCGTAAATATATCAAAACTTAATTTTTGATTAGTAATATGCATTGCTAAGAACTTCATTTGGACAACTTTAAAGATGATTTTCTCAATATTTAGATTTTTTGCACCCTCAGATTCCAGATTTTCAAATAGTTGTATCTCAGCCAAATATTGTCCTATCCTAACAAACCATACATCAATGGAAAGCTTATTTATTCAGCTTATTTCAGATGATGTATACATCTCAATTTCAAAAAAATTATCCTTATGACTGGTTTTGTGCTCCATGGTCCCAAATGTCTAATTTCAGCCATGAGCACTGAAACCCAGAAACAGAAGCTACATTTACTGTAATGTGAGATTTGTTCTTTGCAATAACATGCACGATGATGAATCACGGTTCAGAAATGTGCGTTAAGAAAGCATAAACAGTCCAATTTCATGCTGACTTGAAATCTCCTGAGACATTCAGCAGCTGCTTTTAAACTAATACATGATATAAAAAGGCTCTTTGCAGATAACGTGCTCCACACATCTTGTTTTATAGATGTCTTAATTGCTCTAATTGATGTCCGGATTTTTCTCACATCTCAGAGACATGGACAGATGGAGGAGGAGCGAGCAGATATCAGCGCTTCGGTTTGACCCGAGTGAGTCACGCTCTAAACCACACGCTTCTGCTCCGAGCCAAGCAAAACAATCCCACAATCCAACAAATAAAGCATCAACAAAAGCAGAAACGATTCTCTGTGGAACAATGAGGCCATCTGCACCAGAACAAAACCAAGGAGGAACTCTTCAACTTCCTTTCAAAGGTATTAAAGGGATAATTCACCTGAAGTGAAGCTGGAAGGCCTGAAATTCGGCACAAAATTTACTTCTTTTAGGCTGCTTCTTGTTTGTTTTTTTTCAAGTCACTTTGGGTGAATCTCACAAAGTAAAGCTCAGGGAGTCACATTTCACCCTAAAATCACCCTAAAAGATTATATTATATTGAAACATATTTTTAAGACATCTTTGCACTGACAACTTATTTTGGACATTTAAACACATTTCCTGCCTAAATTCCCATTAATTTAATGCAAGAAAAGCTAATACTCATTGTTTATAGCCAGAAAAAAAAAATTCAACACAATATACTTTAGGCATATAACTAAAAAGCCTAAATTCTCATTAATGAAAGAATTAAAGAAAAAAATAATAATAACATAATACATGATATAAAGGCAATGCAAGTTTATTTATATAACATTCCATACATAATGGAAATTCAAAGTTTTACATAAAAGGAATTTTAAAATAATCAAGATTACTAAGAAATAAGATTAATAAAAAAGTTACATTTATTTGAGAAGAATAAGGATGCATATAAATGATATAAGACACAATAATAATAATAACAACAACAATTTTACATGTATACCAGAGTGTGAATAACTGTTCAATGTGCATAACTGAAATTATTTAAAATGATTTAAAATGTTTTAAAGATCTTAAAGTAGGCTCATTTTGTAATTGCATTATTTATTTACTGTATTTACTTCGGTTTATTTATTTTGTTGTCATTCCGGGGGGAAAAAGGCTTTAAAAGTTCTTTAAAAGGGACATTGGATAACATTTGTAGATTTTTTTTTTTGTTGCATATGTGACCCTGGAGCACAAAACCAGTCATAAGTGTCATTTTTTCGAAATTGAGATTTATACATCATATGAAAGCTGAATAAATAAGCTTTCCATTGATGTATGGTTTTGTTAGGATCGGACAATATTTGGTCAAGATACAACTATTTGAAAATCTGGAATCTGAGGGTGCAAAAAAATCTGAATATTGAGAAAATCATCTTTAAAGTTGTCCAAATGAAGTTCTTAGCAATGCATATTCATAAAAGAAAAATGGATAATTTTGACCCATACAATGTATTGTTGGCTATTGCTACAAATATACCCCAGCGACTTAAGACTGCTTTGTCTCATAAAAGAAAAATGGATAATTTTGACCCATACAATGTATTGTTGGCTATTGCTACCAATATACCCCAGCGACTTAAGACTGCTTTTGTGCTCCAGGGTCACATTTAACTAGGTTTCTGGCATGTCTGCCTGCTCAGAAAAGCTGTAGAGAAAACACGCAGTCAGTTTGTTATGTGCTGTCTGAGTCTTGAGCTGTTTCAATCTGCAGCTGGTTTCTGTGTAGATAGCTGGCTATTTGAATAAGGCCATATATGGATATATGCATGTGTCTTCTGTTGACACGCCCCATTGAAGAGAGAGGCGGGGTGAGCAGATCTCATTATCATTTAAAGAGACATGCACCAAAACGAGTCACTGTGAACAGAGCTGTTTTTGACAAGGTAAAAAGGGTGTTGTTTTGCATGACAATTGAGGAATTGTAACCAAAGTGCGTTACAGACATTTCATGAAGACCCTAAAGAATCATAACAACATACCGAGATTATACCAGACGTCCATCTCCCCGCTCAGCATGCGCACCTCGATGATGGTCTGACCCAGAAAATCATCAGATTCCTTCTTAAAGTGCTGCTTCACCCTGGACTTTATGTCGTCGTCTTCATCCCACACACGGACCTTAATACGGTCTGTGGCGTTATGACACTCACTGACAGAGACAGACAGAGAGAGAGGAGCGTCACACAAAGATGCTTCTCATACAATTACCCATACATCATAAAAAAAATGAGCTGATCAATAAGTCATGTTTTTCCATTGCTTTAACTCATCAAAATAATTTAAGCAATTTCAGTTTCATTTTTTGAGTTGTATGAAATTCAACTCAACTCAACTTTTTTAAGTCAGTTTAATGTCATTTAAGTTTGAATGACTTGTACAGTCAATTTGATTATATTAAAAAAATGTAAGGCAGTTAAAATATAGTACATAAAACAGTTTTTTTTACAGTGTAGGAAAAATCTAAACACACACTAATGAGACAATTGTTGACATACAGTGAGAGTACAGAGCTACACTACACTGTATTTTTATCTTGTTTTCCAGTACAAATATCTAAAAATTCTTAAATCAAGACACATTTACTGTTTTGTTGAATGCTATCTGTTTTTGTGAGAGGTCCTGGACTTTGATTTCATGGGGAGATCATTTTGCATCTTACACTGGACATGCGAAATTACTTCAGACATTAAGTCTTGAATGCATTTCTTGAGAAATGCATCAAAATTAAGTGATTTTTTTTTTTGCTTAAAACAAGAAACAAATATTTTAAATTGGGGTAAGAAAAACAATCCTGATTTATCTTTAAATTAAGCTTATTTTTCTGATACCACTGGCAGATATTTGTTTTTATTTTAAGCTTAAACTCGCTTAATTTTGATACGTTTTTCAGAAAACAAGTCATTTTGCTCCTCATCTTAAAAATGGTAAGATATTTGTACTTGGAAAACATGAAAAAAATATTGAGTGAGAATTTTTTTTTTTTTGCAGTGTATAAAATGAAGATTGTGAGTTTTCTATATATATATATATATATATATTTTTTTTTTTTTCAATATTTATTTTGGAGTAAAATATGACCCGAACAGATCTGCATGTAAATTATATGTATATTATTAGGTTTTCTCCACATTACAGTAACAAAAACAGAGGGGGTGTAAATAAATGTAATAAAAAGTCACAATATAAAATATTTTAAAGATCCTAAAACAGGCTAATTTTTCTATATGCATTATGTATTTTATTTTATTTTTTTGTCTTTCATTTTGGGGTAAAATATAACCTGGAAAGAACAGCATGAATATCTCATAAGACAAAAATACTGAGGAAGAAAATCATTTTTGAAGTGCATAAAATAAAGGTGGAGAGCAGTTTAGATCATTTAATGAGAAATGTTTAATCTCTGACTTTTGATTGCATACTGTAAATTTGGAAATCTGAGCACAGATTAAAAATCTTAAAAATCTCCATTTGATTTCACTGCTGTCTAGGAAAAATAGTTCATATATCAAATAGAACTCATTTGTGGTTTTCCTTTCTCATGACAAAACACTACTGACCGCATTTAAGAGCCAATTTACCTTTGAGGACGTCCCCAAAGGGAAGACTTTTGTTATTTAGCTGACGTCAAGGGAAAGTTTTGTCCCTGAAGTATAGCCAAGAAAATCCACACACACACACACACACACACACAAGCTGCCAAAAGAGTGGCGAGCTGCTTGCCGAACTGCTTTTAAAGGTCACATGCTCCACTGAATCTCCAAACTGGGCACTTAGCCTCCTGTGGTCCATCTCCATGTCTGTGTCTCCGGTGGAGGAGTGAATTAAGAGAGACTGAGAGAGAGACAGGCTCACAGACAGACGTTACGCCTGCAGACAGTCACTCACAGATGCAGAAACACACCACAGCCCCGACACACATCACTTCAAATCACACTGACTGACACCAACCTAAGGAGGAAATATAAATATCATCATATTACAGGAACACTTAGAGTTTGTGAAAACTGATCGCAGAGAGAGCCAGACAAACCTGGACAGCTATGCTTTATTATGGAGAGATCAGGTCTGACACTAACTTCAAAAAAGTTCGGGTTCACTAAGAAATGAACTATTTTATTCAGCAGGAATGCATTAAAATAATCAAAAGTGACAGTAAAGACATTTATAATGTAATTTCTATTTCAAATAAATGCTGTTCTTTTGAACTTTCTATTCATCTGTGAATCCTGAAAAACAAAATGCGTCACGGTTTCCACAGAAATATTGTGCAGCACAACTGTTTTCAACATTGATAATAATCAGAAATGTTTCTTGAGCAGCAAATCAGCATATTAGAATGATTTCTGAAGATCATGCGACACTGAAGACTGGAGTAATTATGCTGAAAATGCAGCTTTGATTGCAGAAATAAATTATATTTTCACAGATATTCACATAGAAAACAGATATGTTAAGTTGTAATAATATTTCCCTGTTTTTACTGCATTTTTTATCAAATAAATGCAGCCTTGGTGATCAGAAGAGACTTAATTCAGAAGCATTAAAAAAACTGTCCCAAACTTTTGAACATGCAGTGAAAGTAAAAGATAAATGGCTAAATGAATGAGTGAAGGTAAAAACATTTAATGTTTTTTTTCTTTGCCTTTTGAAATTTACTGACAAAATGGCAAAAATTTATCATAACCTTTCTCAACGTTTTGACTTGTAAGGCAGAACACATTAGAAGTTCATCTGAAACCTTACTTGAAATTGTTGATTTAGTTCTTATATTTGTTTTAAATACATTTATGTACTCATAAATCTTCACAAAAACGACTGACCACAAATGAATTCAATCTGTGCAGGCAAAAGTTGAGTAATATATTCACTGAAGTGACATTTTAAGTATTAAAAAAGCCTTGGAAATGTACAAATCCTCAAATATAGCAATGCAGCAGCTACTCCAGCAGCACAGTGTGTCCTCATTAACAGTCTGCTACTCAATCTGAAACCAAATGTATTATTTTTTTAAACGAGAGAAATGAGCCCAGTTTCTGCATTTCTTTGAAATTTGCTTGAAAGCACTAGAATGTTTTAGTTTAAGGCTAATCCAGAAAGTATGCTAATATGCAAATGAGACTAGCCACACTTTTAGGTGGATGAGTTGCAAATGAGAACTGAATCAACGTCATAGATCGACTTCCATCTGCTCTCATGTTTCACAACAAATGGCAAAAAAGCGGGGCGAGAAGAGAAAACACACACCAACAGAAGGTTTCGGAGAGATTTATAGCAGCTCTTCATCGGCTGTTATAAAAACACCTACTGTGAAGATCGCTTGATGGGTTTAATCTGCTATCATGTCTGTCATAATAAGACAGACTATCAACCTGAGAAAACAAATTAAGAGGGCTTCCACTATCACTCTAATGCCTCTCTGTCTTTGAAAGAGTTTAAACAGGTGAGAGGAACTAAGAGCTCATCTCAAAATATGCATTTCCCCATAATCCTGCATAAATCCCTCCAAATCCAGCGATCCAGTCTCTCCTGAAGCCCTGGGGTTTCTCGTCACCCTATAGACTCAAATATTTATCCTGAGCTTTAGATGAAGAAATGCACAGAGCGATTTCCCACACTCTCTGTTTCACTTAGAGCTGAAAATGCAATGTTATATTGGCCAAATAAATATAGATATAAAAACAAAATTAATATATATCCTGACCAGGCAGATGCTGCATCACTGAATCAACCAATGGAATGAGTTTGGGGCGGAGCTATGCCTTTGCTCGACCAATGGCAGAAGGTGGGCGTGTTCTAACAGTGATAAGACACTTGAGGCTGTTTAAGTGTGAATCCAGTCACAGCTGAAGGGGTTACAGGCCCGTCGCTGCTTGTTGTGTCTAACAGAGGCCTTTAGGTGCAACCGTCCTCACAATACAGCCCGGCCTCTTACATTACTGCTCAAGTAAGTCACAGACTGGATGTAATTACCTGTCACATTTCTCATTTCACACACCAGCGCGAGGTCGACCCCAAACACACACTGTACAACAGCAAGAGAGCGGGATCTCTTCTTTAATATTCATTATAGATGTGTGTGTGTGTCTTTCTCAGTTTCAGCTCTGTATTCTTCAGCCCCAGTTTTTCCTCTCTGTCCTGTAGACCAGGGCTGTAAAAAACATGTCCCAAGGGCCTGTCACATCCTGTGGAGGAGCTCAATTCAACCGGGGTGATTAAAAATCACAAGTAAAACATGGAATAGAATAGAATAGAATTAATTTATTGAAATATATAATAAATATATATATATAAATACACAC